GGAGGAGGAGGAGGAGGAGGAGGAGGATGAGGAGAAGGAGGAGGAGGAGGAGGAGGAGGAGGAGGAGGAGGAGGGGGAGGACGAGGAGGAGGAGGAGGAGTAGGAGGATGAAGAGGCTGAGGACGAGGAGGAGGAGGCGGATGAGGAGGATGATGAGGTGGAGGTGGTATGGCGCTCTGGCAAACGAGTGGTTACCAGTGGCTGAATGGAGTGGGAGGGAGAGGAGGACAATTTGGGAGAACTCGGCTGCGACAATGTCGGGAAATACTATGTTGAGATGGTCCTACCAAGGCCCCGAGACTCCTCGCGCACGCGATCCAACGGCGCCGTACCGCAGCTGACGACGCTGAGTGCATACCTTTCCTCCAGCGGACAAGGGTAAAAGGAAGAGGAGGACGAGGAGGAGGAAGGGGAGGAAGAAGAGGAGAATGAGGATCGATGATCAAATGTGCTTGAAACTCTCAAGCGTTTTTCGACGCTCCGGAGGCGTCCAGAAGCCTCCGGGGGCCTCTGGATACTTGGAGACCTCCTGGGGCTCGCTGGAGGCCTGGGAACTCTGGGAAGGAGGAGGGACAGTATAGGGAATCGACGTCTGGAAACCGCTGGGGGCCCGCCGGACGCCCCCAGAGATCCCTGGGAAGAAGAAGGGGGGAAGGAAGAGGAGGAGGAGGAGGAGAAGGAGGAGGAGGAGGAGGAGGAGGAGGAAGAGGAGGATGAGGAGGAGGAGGAGGAGGAGAAGGAGGAGGAGGAGGAGGAGGAAGAGGAGGATAAGGAGGAGGAGGAGGAGGAGAAGGAGGAGAGTAGGAGGAGGACCGTAGGAGGAGGATGAGGAGGAAGAGGAGGAGACGCAGGAGGAGGAGGACAAGTGTAAACCCAAGAGTCATCAACGATGTTGGAATCAACCCTTCCTCCAAGCTCCCTCTTCATCAGCCCCTACAACGGTCCTTTCCATTGAGGGAACTGCCTCGTTGAAAGACGACTGTTTGAAGACCCTGAAACATGCCCAAACATTGTTCTCGGGATTCCACCGCCATGGGTCAACCTGACTGTTGCGTATTGACGAACCGGAATCGTGCCAGAACGACATTCTTGGGACACCAACACCGCGAATCAACGTAACTGTTGCGCCTGCATAATCCTGAATCCTTCCAAAACGCAATTTCGGGTACGTTGATCATGGGATTCCGTGAAACTGTTGCAAATGTTACACACGAATGTGCACGGCGCCAAAGCGAGAACCACCTTTTGAAAAAGAACCGCCCTCAATCCGTGAAGCTCTTGCAAAGTAAAACGAATGTGCGCGGCGTTAAGGCGGGAACTACATTTTGAAAACGGATTGCCCTCAATCCGTGAAGCTCTGCTAAACATTTAGAACGAATGTGCGTGGCGCTAAGGCGATAGCCACATTTTGAAAACCACCCGCCCTCCATCTGTGAAGCTCTTGCAGGTCTTTAAAACGTATGTGCGCGGCGCTATGGCGAGAGCCAAATTTTGAAAACCACCCGCCCTCCATTTATGACATGTGGTCAATTTTAAGCATCAGAATCAGCAATGGCGAGGGATCTCAGGCGAAACACCCGGCCGCCCTAAAAACTGGCCTCGGGGTGTGACAGGGAGAACTAGTTCATAAGTAACAGGAATGGAGAAGGAGGAGGACGAGGAGGAGGAAGAGGAGGAGGAGAAAAGCAGGAGGAGGGGCAGGAGGAGGAGGAGGAGGAGGAGGAGGGGGAGGACGAGGAGGAGGAGGAGGAGTAGGAGGATGAAGAGGCTGAGGACGAGGAGGAGGAGGAGGCGGATGAGGAGGATGATGAGGTGGAGGTGGTATGGCGCTCTGGCAAACGAGTGGTTACCAGTGGCTGAATGGAGTGGGAGGGAGAGGAGGACAATTTGGGAGAACTCGGCTGCGACAATGTCGGGAAATACTATGTTGAGATGGTCCTACCAAGGCCCCGAGACTCCTCGCGCACGCGATCCGACGGCGCCGTACCGCAGCTGACGACGCTGAGTGCATACCTTTCCTCCAGCGGACAAGGGTAAAAGGAAGAGGAGGACGAGGAGGAGGAAGGGGAGGAAGAAGAGGAGAATGAGGATCGATGATCAAATGTGCTTGAAACTCTCAAGCGTTTTTCGACGCTCCGGAGGCGTCCGGAAGCCTCCGGGGGCCTCTGGATACTTGGAGACCTCCTGGGGCTCGCTGGAGGCCTGGGAACTCTGGGAAGGAGGAGGGACAGTATAGGGAATCGACGTCTGGAAACCGCTGGGGGCCCGCCGGACGCCCCCAGAGATCCCTGGGAAGAAGAAGGGGGGGAGGAAGAGGAGGAGGAGGAGGAGAAGGAGGAGGAGGAGGAGGAGGAGGAGGAAGAGGAGGATGAGGAGGAGGAGGAGGAGGAGAAGGAGGAGGAGGAGGAGGAGGAAGAGGAGGATAAGGAGGAGGAGGAGGAGGAGAAGGAGGAGAGTAGGAGGAGGACCGTAGGAGGAGGATGAGGAGGAAGAGGAGGAGACGCAGGAGGAGGAGGACAAGTGTAAACCCAAGAGTCATCAACGATGTTGGAATCAACCCTTCCTCCAAGCTCCCTCTTCATCAGCCCCTACAACGGTCCTTTCCATTGAGGGAACTGCCTCGTTGAAAGACGACTGTTTGAAGACCCTGAAACATGCCCAAACATTGCTCTCGGGATTCCACCGCCATGGGTCAACCTGACTGTTGCGTATTGACGAACCGGAACCGTGCCAGAACGACATTCTTGGGACACCAACACCGCGAATCAACGTAACTGTTGCGCCTGCATAATCCTGAATCCTTCCAAAACGCAATTTCGGGTACGTTGATCATGGGATTCCGTGAAACTGTTGCAAATGTTACACACGAGTGTGCACGGCGCCAAAGCGAGAACCACCTTTTGAAAAAGAACCGCCCTCAATCCGTGAAGCTCTTGCAAAGTAAAACGAATGTGCGCGGCGTTAAGGCGGGAACTACATTTTGAAAACGGATTGCCCTCAATCCGTGAAGCTCTGCTAAACATTTAGAACGAATGTGCGTGGCGCTAAGGCGATAGCCACATTTTGAAAACCACCCGCCCTCCATCTGTGAAGCTCTTGCAGGTCTTTAAAACGTATGTGCGCGGCGCTATGGCGAGAGCCAAATTTTGAAAACCACCCGCCCTCCATTTATGACATGTGGTCAATTTTAAGCATCAGAATCAGCAATGGCGAGGGATCTCAGGCGAAACACCCGGCCGCCCTAAAAACTGGCCTCGGGGTGTGACAGGGAGAACTAGTTCATAAGTAACAGGAATGGAGCAGGAGGAGGACGAGGAGGAGGAAGAGGAGGAGGAGAAAAGCAGGAGGAGGGGCAGGAGGAGGAGGAAAAGGAGGAGAAGGAGGAGGAGGAGGAGGGAGGAGGAGGGGGAGGAGGAGGAGGGAGGAGGAGGAGGAGGAGGAGGAGGAGGAGGAGGAGGAGGAGGAGGAGGAGGAGGTGGAGGTGGAGGCGGAGGCGGAGGCGGAGGAGGAGGAGGCGGAGGAGGAGGAGGAGCTATGGCGAATTGGCGAACGTGTGGTTCCCAGGTGCTGCTCGAGGGGGGAACTCGGCTACGACAGTGTCGATTATCGCTAATAGCGATGGCCCCAAGGGGGCCCCCAGACTTCTCGCACGCGCGATCTGAAGGCGCCGCGCGACAGCTGATGACGCTGGTTGTAACCTCATCTCCAGCGACTAGGGTGACGAGGAGGGGGAGGAGAAACAGGAGGAGGAGGAAGAGGGAAAGGAGGAGGATGATGATGAGGAGGCTGGAGGAGGAGGAGGAGGATGAACAGTGTAAACCCAAGACCCATCAACAATGTTGCAATGAACCCTCCCGACAAATTCTCTCTTCCTAGGTCCCTGCGAAGGTTCCTTTTCCCAAGGGCAGATGCAGGACGCTGGAGTTTATGCTTTCTCCGGACTCCAAAGCCGACCCTGCGTATGAAATGCGCACTCTACCTTTCCTCACTTGGGCCCAAGCAGGTCCGGCTTGGATGGGCGGATGCTCGTACCATGCAGCAGTGTTTGAGCAACTTCCACGGTCGACCCGATCGAAGTTGACGGGATGTTCGAGGGCCTGCTGGCACTGTCGTTCTCACTGCTGGGCGTCTCGGCTGGCAAGTGCTGGCCTGGAGCAAGCTCGTGACTAGGAAGGGGATCGATGTTGATTCCCGAAACACTTCTTGCACTCAAGGGCTCTTACTTCTGCTCTACGGAGCTGGGCCTGTCTGCCGGTCCGACAACTATGTTGCCGCCGTCGCCGCCCCGTCGCCGCTTCGTCGCCGCCCGCCGTCTGGGCCTGTCTGCCAGTCTGGCGGCTATGCTGCCGCCGTCGCCGCTCGTCGTCTGGGCATGTCTGTCGGTCTGGCGGCTATGTTGCCGTCGTCGCCACCCCGTGGCCGCACAGAAAATATGTTGCACCACGTAGGCTGTTCCCCATCGATTGCACAACATATATTGCACCACATAGGTCGCACATCAGATCCTGCGTCACATGGTTGTACATCAACGATTGCACATATCATTGATTACACGAGACATATCTGGCAGAACATAGATAGCACCACGTATATTGCACCCCATCAAGTGCACAATCCATACACTGCGCAACAGAGTCTGCAACACATACGCTGCACAAACCATATCTTGCACAGCATGAACTACACCACCACATAGTTTGCACATCGTAGTTTCTAGAAAAAACACCGTTTGGGGTCTACGCTGGCTAACATGTGCCATCCCTGGGGGATCGATCTCTCAATATGGTTCTCCATGAAGCACTTCGGGACATGCTCTGGGCAGTTCTGGGTGACGGTCAGAGAGTCCCTGGGCTCCTTGCTTGACCTCTTGTGGAGCCCGTGGCGGAGGTGCTGAATACGATCAAGAGGAAGGAACGGTTTTCGGTGGCCTCTGGTTTGGCTGGTGTGGCCGCTGGAGGCTACCCGACCTAAAGCACCGTGTGCGATGATAGATGGGCATGTGGTCGATCCCCTTTGCCAGACATGCAAAGCTGCTGTCGGCGCACCTCAGCACCGCTTTATTTGCTGCGAGGCGCATGCATGCCCCCCTTCGGCGCGACCTGGACGTGTCCGTGACTTGGGACCTGGATGATGTACTGGTGTCCAACTTGTTCGCCTCCCGTGAGCTGGCATTTATTCCCGAATGGCAGCGGCCTGCAGCTTACACTGTTGCAGGGCATACGTGGCAGGTTCTTCCTCTTGGAAGCTTCCTCGGGATCAGAATTTGCTTGGACGGATCGGGGCTTGACCCCTTGTTGCCTCAATTCTCTTAGGCGGGGTGGGTTGTGGTGAGTCATGTCCATGAAGACAGCTTCGGAAGATGCGTCCCTGGGTCTGCATACGGGCCACTGTCACATGCAGTTCACGTTGCAGGCGGGATGTTTGCGACCTGCTCATGCACCTCAGCCAGGCAGGACCCGAAGTCATGGACATAATAACCGATTGTAAGATAGTGGAAGACGTCTGGGGGCAGGGGACGTTCCAGGAACTGGAGACAGTAGCGTACTCGGGGTTCTGGGTGGAAATGTTCAGGCTGGCCTCGGAGATACGGTATGAACGCATCACCCTGTCTAGGGCCCCGTCTCACTTGGCCCCCTCCAAAGCCCGTGGGTTAGGCATCGTTGAGTGGACGTGGCGAGTCAACAACAAGGCCGACGAACTGGCCAAGCTCGAAGCCAGAGCCCACCCCCACAACCCGAAGCCCAAGAACGGATCTGCTGTTTGGGTCCCTCATGTAACGCAATCTGCGTGGCTCATTGCGGAATTCACGGAAGACCTTGGGGCTCGGTCGTTCCCCAATGAGGCTCGGATCCGACGGCACAGACGGGCCACGCCGTGCCACCTGGAACTCGCTCGACCCCAAGGGCCATGCAGTTGAGAAGGTCGGCAAGTCAGCGTTTTTGTGTTTGAGCAGCGGTCATCGAGGCGGGTCGCGTGCCGCAGTCTGCGCTTTCCCTTGTGGTTGCCCGTCCAGGATTGCCAGGACCGACCATGCCTCGCAGAGGGTTTGGCTGATGGGCGGGCGAATCGGATGGTGTTCGCGTTGTGGTGCCTTCGGAAGCTCTCGATCCCAGCTCCACAGTCGCCCGTGCAAAAGAGTCCCACAAGAGGTCCCGCCAGTCGCTACTTTGCAAGGAGTTTGGTATCAGTGAAGTGCGGAGCCGACCCCAGCACGAACAAATGTGATGGGAGATCGGTGCCGCTGGTCAGGACAACGCATGGCTGGGCGTCGAAGGACTCGCCTACGCTGTCCCGTGGTCTTACCCTCTCGTAATATTCTTGCTGCTTCAGCGCAAACCCTGCCAACGATGACAGACAGCATTGATGCCAAAGGGATGCCAAGGGAGGAGGAGGAGGAGGAGGAGGAGGAGGAGGAGGAAGAGGAGGAGGATGAAGAGGAGAAGTAGTGCCAGGACGGGCAAGAGGAGGAAAAGGTCCTCGCTGCTGGCGGCGCCGAAGCACTCGATGTAGTAGTCGGTGGAGCCGCCAACTCTCCGCCACGCGCCCGCCAGTCTGTGAGGCCTGCGGCGCTGCAGCTCCTGCGGCGGCGCTCGAGGGTCCAAGGGGCGAGGGATAAGATGGAAACTGTCGGTCGAAGGATCGAAGATGGAAGGGTCGAGGGTCGAAGGATCGAATGATCGAGGGCTGAAACACGTAGACGATCGAAGAGCCCACGGTCGACTGGTCGACCGGTGGGGACCCGCGGCCGCGCGCGTGCCGACGCGCCACCGCACCAACGTGGCGTCCAAAGTAGACCCGCCACCGTGCCAGACACAGATCTCCGACGATTTTGTTTGGTACGTGGCAAGTCTTTCCCTGCCCTGGTACCGTGCCTCGTCCACCTGAGCGTCCTTTTATTCGGCGGGGGGGAGGGGGGGGGGGGGGGTCTGGCTCCAGACCTCTGCACAGTGCGACTGTTTGCAAGAGTGCGGCCCCTGGGGGCGGCCCCACCAGCTCGAAACAGGCGCCAAGAACAGCCAAGATTGACTCCATGGGTGGGAGGGATGGGGGGGGGGGGCGCAGGCCCGCGCCGATCGGCAAAATAATGAGCAAGAAAGCGATCACCGTTTCGTGCACTGCGGCCCCTGCTTCAGCCCCTGTATGTGGCCGTGGCGCCGCCCCGTGCCCGCTGCCAGGGGTGCAGCACTGGCTGGCCGCTCCACGGCGACGCACCGCGCTGTGTGAGGGCCCTCCCCTCCCTCCCTCCTCCCTCGCGGTCGCTTTCGCATGTCTTCCCCTCCTCCCGCCGCCTGTGAATTTGCGCTCTCCGTTGCCAGGACCGCCCGAGCGCGCGTGCGGACTGCCTCTGCCCCGCTGCGACGTAAATTTTGTTTGTTTGTTTGTTTGTTGTGGTTTTTTTTCCTCCTTCTGCCCCCCTCTCTGTTAATTCAAGCTGTGCCGTCCAAGCGGTGGGCGTCCAGGAGCGGGGCTCGCAAGTTGTGACCCGAGGCATGTGCGCGGACGGGGGGGCGGAGAGGGCAGGGGACGTGCGGAAAGAATAATAATACGGATCATACTAATACTGGTACTGTGCGGGCGCGGCCGCAAGAAACCCTCGCAAGAAACCCAGCCCTGAGAACCCGTGCGCGAGGTGCACCTGAGGGGAAACCTGGAGCACCCTGAACGCAGCAGCTCCTTCAACGGCTGCGGGAAGTCACCGCGCAGCGCGAGGAGCGAAGAAACCCAGGATACCCTGACGAAAAGCATATGGTTTCTTGATGCGCGCCCCACTGTAACAATTATGATCGCAATGCTGAGAAATTGCTATTGGTACGAATAAGACTGATATCAATGCTACTGACGATCCTAACGCTATTTGTGCTAATAATACTAATACTCTTACTTTGTAACCATACTACTACTGCTAATCGTACTATTAGTAGCAACAAGACGGGTGCTGACGCTAACAATACGAACAGCACTATTACTCAACTTACTATTCTTATTATTAGTATAGTACCTGTGATGTACAACATTATAAGAGGAATACTGGTATTATGCTTATTATTCTTATGCTTGTTAATAGCAATATAATGATACATCATATTAATATTACGAATGATACTAATAATCAGAGTGAGGGGGCAGAACGATCATTAGTTGTCCTGGGTGCGTGGCTGAAGTGGGGATCCGTGGTGAAGATTCTGCGTTGTTGCGTTGTTGCGTTGTTGTTTGTTGTCGTCGTCCCACCCGCGACCCACCCCGCGACCCACCCGCGACCCACGACCCACCCGCGACCCACCCCGCGACCCACCTGCGATCCACCCGCGACCCATCCGCGAACCACCCCGCGACCCACCTCACGACCCACCCGCGATCCACCCCGCAACCCACCCACGACCCACCCCGCGACCCACTCAGTATACAAAGTGCGAGATTCATATACAAAATGCGACATTCGGCGCCTGCGTCGGGCTGCCTTGCGTCGGTTTAGGAGAGCGCCCGCGACCCCAACGCTTTCATTCTACAACGTGCTAAAATCAGCGCCTGCGGTGGGTTCTTGTATAGCTTGAAAAATTCTGCGCTGGCGGCGGGCTTCTTCTGAACCTCGCAGACTGCCGACGTCCCCGCCGCCCCCTCACTCGTATCCGCAACTGCGGGGTGCTAATACTACTGATATTAAGAATACCAATCGAATAAGAAAATAATAGCTAGAATGATAAGACGACTACTACTAAGAAAAATATGAAGGAGAAACTTAATAATACGAACAAGTGCCATGACAACTGGGGTGATTTTATGGCCCCAGCCGTGATCTCGCCCAACCCCGTCGCAATCCCGCCCCCTTTCCCTCTCTTGGACACCCCCGACTTCAAGTGGCCGAGGCGGCTCCCAGATCTCACCGAATTCCTGGGCGCCCCCAGAGTGCGTAGCGCTGCCTCTCCCGAGGCCTCAGAGGCGCTCGTGTGGACTCAGACATCTGACGCGTCTCGAGATGTTCCCATGCCTTCACATCCTCGTGCCGTGAAAGATCACGACCGGCAATTTTTGTTCACTTTCGATCCCCCGGGGCCCTCGCCAGCCACGAGGACCGTCGCCAGCGCTGTTGCCAGGAAGCTCGCCAGAAAGCCTGCCCCGAGCCTGCCCGCGCCCTTGCGGTGCGCATCGCGTTGCTGGCGTTGTTCCCTAACTGGACTTGCCCAGATGGCTCTCACCGTCTGCCTCAGCAGCGCCCTCACAGCAAGTCCCTTGGGCCGGTGCCACTCCCGCACCCTCTCGTGAATCTCCCGTGGACTGCCCGCTTGCTTGCGCAGCACATCGTGTGACTAGAGCTGCTGCCAAGAAGCTCCTCGACGTCGTGATTTTTGTCGCTACGTAGACCCCCAGAGGTCTGGACCCCTTCCCCAGGACCGGCTTTTCGTCCCGAGTCGTTTCCCGACGGTCCTGGGGACCAGGGAATGCCCCAGTAGGCCGAAAACTGCTAAAAACCTCCCGTCGCGTTTTCATGACGCGAGGACGTCTGGCTGGGGCCCTGCTATTGCTCCCCAAACCGAAAACTCGCAAAGACCGCCCATCGTGATTTGTTCATGACGCGAAAAGGTCTGGGATCGAGGCACTTCCTGGGCAAGGGGGCGGAGGGCGCCACTTTCTTGGGCCGGGGGCTGGGGACATTTGGAGGGGTGAGCCCTTTGGGCCGCGGTGCTGTGGGCGTAGGCCGCCGTTCCTCTTCGGGGGGGGGAGACGAGGGGAAGGAAAAAGAGGAAATAATGGAGGAGGGCGAGGAGGAGGGGCATGAGGAGGAGGAGGGGCATAACGAGGAGGAGGAGGAAGAGGAGGAGGAGGAGGAGGAGGAGGAGGAGGAGGAAAAGGAGGAGGAGGAGGAGGAGGAGGAGGACCAGTGTAAACCCAAGACCCATCAACGACATTGCAATGAACCCTCCCTCCACGCTTCCTCTTCGTAGCCCCGTACAAGGATTCATTTTCGCTGAAGGAAGTGCCCCGTTGGAAAGCAACTGTTTGCAAATCCTGAACTGTGCCGGAGCACCGTTCCTGGGACTTCACCGCCGCGAATCACCGTTATTGTTGCGTCCTGACGATCTGAATCGTGCCAAACACCACTCCTGGAGTTCAGCACCACGAATCAACGTAACCGCTGCGCCTTGGCAGCACGAAATTTTGCCAAAACGCATGTCTAGGACGTTAAACCATGATAACCGTTCAAGCTGTCGTAAGCACTTAACATGAATGTGCACGGCGCTGGGGCGATAATCATATTTTGGAATTCGCTCGTCCTTTATACGCGAGGCTCTTGCAATTTCTCTACAGAATGTGCGCTGCGCTAAAGCGAGAACCTCACTTTGAAAACGACCCGCCCTCCATCCGTGAAGCTAGTGCAAATGTTTAAAGCGAATGCGTGCGGCGCTAAAACGAAAACCACGTTTTCAAAACCACCCGCCCTCCATCCGTGAAACTAAGGCAGAAGTTGAGCTTCAAGATCATAAACGGTGAGGGGGTCTGAAGCGAAACGCCTGGCCCGCCCTTTCGAGCTGCCTCGGTGTGCGACAGGGAGGATTTTTAAGTAACAGGAAGAGGAATGCAGAAGGAGGAGGAGGAGGAGGAACATGAGGATGAGGAGGAGGAAGAACGCCAGTACCCTCAGAAGGTCTGGTCGGCGGTGGGCGGCCGCGCAACCGCGGGGCGCCGACTCAGTGGTTGTTGTCGCTAAGGCGGTCCACCGCCGCCTTGTGGCACGCCCTGTGAAGGGCAAGTGCGGAGGTAGGTGATCTTGCGGACGAAGCCGTAGGCTTGACTGACCTCTAAGTACAGGTAATGGAGTAACACGAGGTTGCGCATCGCCGTGAACCTGGAATGCTCGTGCGGCGGATCGTCGTGGTAAGCCTCATCTTTGGCCAGCCCGAGCCGATGCAGGAGACCGCCATGAAGGAATTGTCGAAGGCGAGGCAGCCAGTGAAGGGTGTGGCGGCACTTCAGGTAGTGGCTGATCTCGTCGCGCCCTACTCCGCATCCAAATACACAGGCGTGCCGCACAGCAAGCAATATTATGCATGCGGTAGCTGGTGTGCCACTCGCCCGCAAGGGGCCACAAGACGATCCACCGCCATGTTGGAGGCAATGTGATAAGGAAAACCTTCACCTGCCGCCACCTCTGTCGGAGGTCACGTGGGATCAGCTCGGACTCGATCCAGGTAGCGACCCTCTTCCTCAGAGTCGTGTCGAAGGTATCGGGGTGGGTCGCCGCCTGGGGGGACCGAACGACAGCCCTCTGTGGGTGAGGACGCGTGCCGGCTGTCACGGACAACCGAACAGCGCGTTTGGCCACCTCCGCTGCTTGCTGATACAGCGGGAGCACACGGGCGGGGGCCTCCATGGGACGGTCCCTGGACGCGGCCGCAAGCCGTTGTACGATGGCGGTGCCTATGCGCCAGAAGGTAGGCGACAACTGCCCAGCCGCCAGTCACGGGAGCCCAACCAAGCGGGACGCCACAGCTTCCAGCCGCTGCAAAGTCGTGGTCCAGGTCGTAATCGTGAGCTCCGCCGTGCGCCACAACGTCCCGGCCGCCAGAGCTTGCATCGACCTGACCGCTGTGGTCGGGAACCAAGCGTCGAAGGACAGTATGTCGGTTAGGCGGAAGGTTGAAGGCGGGAACCGCAGCACCTTGTTGAGTGCGTGGGACACCTTGCGCACGGTGTTGGGCGGCAGACCGAAGAACTGGCCGAGGTAGGCGAGGACGCCTAGACACGACGTGCCATAGAGGCGCACGTTAGTCGACTGGAGCGCCAATCTCACTCATGAACACCACCCGTCGCCACCACTTGTCACCCGACGGGCCCCGACCGTTGCGCCGGGTCCCATGATGGTGCCGAGGTACTTCCCCTTTACCTCGATGCGGACGTCGGGCCACTGGGGGACCAGGTGGGTCACGACACGCCTGACACGCTGGACCACGCCGTCGGTCAGTGGCGCCCAGAGCAGAATCAGGTAGCTCTTCTTCGTCTGGAGGTACAGATTGCCGAGCTCGGCTACAGAGTCAAAGATGCTGACAATCGCGGTCAACTGGCGCACATTGCGATTGATGGCGCCTACGTCGTCGGCGCACGCCGCAGCAAGACCGCCGCAATGTAAATTTTGGATGTGTAGGTCTTCCGACTCTGGCTGCAATGAGGAGCTCCGAGCGTGGCCCGCATGCGAATGTCTTTAGGTCTGAGAAAGGGTCGGAAATAGCGATGTCCTGGGGAACACATGGGCAAGAGCTCGCATAATCGGGTCCATTGCAATAGCCCAAACACTGCCTGACAATGGGCAGCCCTGGGCAACCCCATTTGCCTGTGTACACAGGTGATGATGTACCCCTCCCAGGAACGAAGCCCTCCGAGGCCCCATGCAACGCCTGGGCGCCGTTCAAAAAGCACTGTGGGATGCCGAAGCGCTTGAGAGCACCGAACAGCCATTGCCGACCCAGCGATGGGAAGGCGGCGGCGGCGGCGGCCGCGGCGCGGGTTAGGGCCAATTGGCGGCCAAGGATGAAGAGCAGGAGGAGGAGGAAGATGAAGAGGAGGAGGAGGAGGAGGAGCGCCAGTGGCTCTGCAAGGGTGAGGCCAAATCCGCGGCTGGCGGGGTCGCTCCGGCCGCTGCCGCTGTGTCACATTGCTTGGAGTAAGGTGGGGGAAGAAGCGGGGAGGGGGAGGAAGATGATGATGACGGGGAGCGACGACGACAACGATGGCGATCACGACGAGAACGACGACGAGGGCGAGGAACACGACGACTTGCAGGGAGTTTCCCCGCCCCCTTCTCTTCGGCATCCCTCGTCGTCCTCTTCCTCGTCCTTTGCCTTGCCTGCCGCGGAGTACACAACGAACAGCTGCCTGGAACAGCTAGGGCTCTTGCGTGCCATGTTTTGCTTTTCGATAGGAGCTCATCGCGTTAGCCTGTCGAGCCAAAATCTGGGAGTCTCCTGAACATCACTGTTAAGAACCCACAACCCGTTAAGCATGGTTGTGCGGTTCTCCAGAAGAGAGCAACACCAACTTCTGTACATCAGTGTTTGATGCTTCTCAGCCTTGAGAAGAAAAGGAGGAAGAGGATGACGACGTGGACGAGGATGAAGAGAAGTTGAGGAGGAGGCAAAGGGAGAAGAGGGTGGAAGCAGACAAGGAGGACGTCATCGTCCTTCTCCTCGTCCTGGCTGGGTAAAGGCCTCTTTTCCGACCGTCCTCTCTTCCCCTGCCTTGTGGGCTGCACGAGATACACCTTGCAAATAAGACAGCTATGCACCCGAATCGGGTTGGATCGAAAACGGAGAGGACGGGTATCGAGGTTTGGGATATACGTTTTGAACGGCCCGCGAGCAACTAAGAACGAACAACATGAACATGCTTGTTGTTGTTGTTGCCGTTGTCCTCGCCCGCGACCCGCCCACGACCCATCCGTGACCCACCCCGCGACCCAGCCCGCGACCCATATGTAAAAGTGTCTGTATGTGAGCACATGCATACACATGCATGTCTGTATGTATGTGGCCCCCAAGAGGCCCCAAGAGTACTCCAACAGCACCCCCAAGAGGGGCTCATGAGGCCCAAATCGTCTGTTTTCCGATGGATTTTGACATGCTCGCCTTTTCGGGTTTCCCACGCTCCAAGACGGCTCAAGAGGCCCCCAAGATCGCACCAAGACGGCCAAAGAGGCTCCCGCGAGCGCCCCAAAACTGCCCAAGGAGCCCCAAGGCTACTCAAGAGGGCCCCAAGACGGCCCAAGAGAGCTCCAGGACTACCTCGGAGGCACCCAAGGCGCTCCGAGAGGGCCCCAAGACGGCCCCAACAGAAGCCCCAGAGAAGGAACCCGACCCAACACTTCGAGTCTTCCGGCGCAAGAGGCTCTCCGAAGAACGCCCAGAAGGCCCCCAAGAGGCCCCAAGAGCACTCCAACACCACCCCCAAGAGGGGCTCATGAGGCCCGAATCGTTTGTTTTCCGATAGTTTTTGACGGATTTTGACATGCTCGCCTTTTCGGGTTTCCCACGCTCCAAGACGGCCCAAGAGGCCCCCAAGATCGCACCAAGACGGCCAAAGATGCTCCCGCGAGCGCTCCAAAACTGCCCAAGGAGCCCCAAGGCTACTCAAGAGGGCCCCAAGACGGCCCAAGAGAGCTCCAGGACTACCTCGGAGGCACTGAAGGCGCTCCGAGAGGACCCCAAGACGGCTCCAACAGAAGCCCCAGAGAGGGGACCCGACCCAACACTTCGAGTCTTCCGGCGCAAGAGGCTCCCAAGAAAGCCTACGAGGCCTCTCAGGGGCCCCCCAGGAGGCCTCCGGGGGACCCCAATATGCCCCAAGATGCCCAGCAGGCCCCGCAATTGTCCTCAAAAGGCCCCCGAACTGCGTCCAACAGGCCTCCGAGAAGCTTCCCAGGACACCCCGACACACATACAAGAGGCATCAAACCCACAACCCAAGCACGGTGGCGGGTTGGGCGGAAAACCAGTAAAATAATAATCAAATATTGTACGTGTAATCAGATTATCATCATCATCAGCATCATCATTACCACCACCACCACCACCACCACCATCATCATCATCATCATCATCATCATCATCATCATCATCATCATCATCATCATCATCATCATCATCATCATCATCATCATCATCATCATCATCGTCATCGTCATCGTCATCGTCATCGTCATCGTTATCATCGTCATCATCATCATCATGTTCATCATCATCATCATCACCATCATCATCATCATCATCATCATTCTCGTCGTTGTCGTCGTTGTCGTCGTCATCGTCCTCGCCGTCGTCGTCCTCGCCACCACCACCACCACCACCACCACCACCATCATCATCATCATCATCATCATCATCATCATCATCATCATCATCATCGTAGGCATCGTCATCATCATCATCGTCATCATCATCATCATCATCATCATCATCATCATCCCGGTCATCTTCACAATCATCCTCAACATTATCGTCGTTGAAGACCTAATAACTGCGATCACCGACATCATCATCATACTCATCATGATCGCCATCATCCTTCAACACCTGCAGGAAATCATTGGTTTGGGCCTCTTCGAGTGTTCCTGGAGGTCTACTTGGAGGCCTCTTGGGCCGTCTTGGAGGCCTCTTGGGGGCTGCTCAGGCCGTCTTGGGCCATCATGAGGCAATCCCTCCCTCCACCTCTCTCCGCCTCATCCTCCACCTACTCCTCCATCTCCCCTCCCACCAACCAGATCGCATCTGGAGCGCCCCTGGATCGGCGGCACTGGCCCGAGGCCACTACAGTATGTAGGTAAAACATATGTTGGTGTACATCTGTACACATACGACATAGTTGCGCGTGCATTAGTAAAATGCACACGTGTGAATACATATTCAACTGTTGAACATGTGTTCTTGGGAAGGCACGTTCCGACGATCTCGCCGTCCCATTCTCGTCTTAGGATAACACGCCAACCATCTCATCGAATATGCACCCTCACTCCCCTCCTTTTCGATCCCCCTTCCCGCACGGAGGGTCCAACAATGCTCGTCGACACGCGTTCACGGCCATGAGGTCTTCACGGCTAAGCGGATCGCCCAACGGCAGGCACAACGTGCGTGTCCACATCCTGGTCGGCGGGATAGGGGGGAGAGGGAGAGAGAGACAGAAAGAGAGAGAGACAGAGAAAGCGGAAGCGAGAGAGAAACAGGGAGACAGAGAGAAAGAGAACGAGAGAGAGAGAGAGAGAAAGAGAGAGAGAGAGAGAGCGAGAAAGAGAGAGAGAGAGAGAGAGCGAGAAAGAGAGAGAGAGAGAGAAAGATTGAGCGAGAAAGAGAGAGAGAGCGAGAGAAAGGGATAACAAAGAGACAGAGAGACAAAGAGGCCTGGCTCAACGTGCCCCGCCCCTGTCGGCACACCTCTCGCAAGGATCGCGCCCAACAGGGAGCTCCACTTACGTCCCCAGAGACAAGGTTCGCATAGTGGCACGCCCCACACGCGGATCGTGCCCCGCAAGTAACTGCATTTGTGGCACCAGAGGGAAGCTTCATAGCGTTGCCCAGCTCACTTCGGCACACCTATCACACGGATCGTGGCCCGCAAGGGTGTCCACGGACGGCCCCGAAGGCAAGGTTCGCATCCCGCCCTTCCAGCTGCTTCGGCACACCTCTCACGCGGATCGTGGCTGCACGTGTATATGTATATATGTTTGTATGTAGGTATGAATGAATGAACGAATGAATTTATGCATGCATGCGTATAAAGGTTTGTCTGCATCTTTGTAGTGAATGCTGGTATGTCTGTATGTCTGCATACATATATGTAGATATGCATGTATGTATGGATGTATGTAGGTACGCATATCTGTTCGTGTCTGTAACTGTATATATACACATGTATATGCTAGCATATGTATATGTATGCATGTTTGTACTGACGTGCGTATGTATGCATGTTTGCATACATATATTCATGTATGTCTGTCAGTCTGACTGTTTGCATGCATGCATGCATGCATGCATGCATGCATATATGAATGCCTGTATGTATGCAGGTATACATGTTCATATGTATGTGCGTGCGTACGCACGTACGTATCTATGTATGTACGTATTTACGCATCTATAAACAAATAGGTTCGCCCACGTACCAATGCAGGGTCCCGAAGGGCCTTCTTCGGGTTATCTTGAAACCGTCTTCAGGCCGTCTTGGGGGCCTCCGAGCCTACTGGGCCGTCTTGGTGCCTCTTGGGGCTGTTCTGCGGCGGTCTGGGGGCCCTCTTATGCTGTCTTGGGGCCCCTTTGGACCATTTTGAGCCCCTCCGTGGGCCCTTCTGCAGCGTCTTGGGGCCGTCTTGGGCCCCTCTTTGGCCGTCCTCGGCTCGTTTTGGAAACCTCTTGTGCGCATATTGGGCCATCTCCTGAGTATGCGAAAATGGTACCGAAACCTACGGAAAACCTATAAATTTTGCCTCCCGGGGCCTTTTGGAAGTCGCCTTCGGGCCCCCTTGAGCCATCTGGGGGGCCCGTTGAGCTGTCGACCAGCCATCTTGGGCCCATCTTAGGCCATCTTGGGCTAATCGTGGCTGTTTTGGGGCGCTCGCCTTCTTTGGGCGCTCCGGAATCAGCCTCCCCGGCCGGACCCGAAGTTGTACTGGATTAGTTGTCTATGAATAGGGGAACCGATTGTATTAGTGCAGCTAGAGAGAGAGAGAGAGAGAGAGAGAGAAAAACAAAAAAAGAGGACGGAGAGAGAGAGAGAGAGAGAGAGGCTGGGACAAACTCGGGAAGTGGACGTCTGAGGACCGGGAAGTGGATAGCGTGGTGGGCCAGAACCAGCGGCACGACACGCTCAGCCAAAATTCCTGACCGCGAATCTGCTCCAACATGCCCTGAGAAGAGGCTGTTCAGTTTGACCGCTCGTCGTCGTCGTCGTCGTCGTCGTCGTCGTCGTCGTCGTCGTCGTCATTCAGGGTCGGCGGCACCAGCCGTAAAGCCTTCGCAATATGCTCCAGCATGCCCTGCGATCCGGACGTTGCTGTTTTTCACGCCAGGCGTTTTCGCTGGGCTTCGGGCCCCAGGACCATCGCACTTCATATCGGGCTCGAAAAATGCAACAGAAAGATGGGGTCTAGGGCTCCGCTCGTGATTTTTGGCGATATCGCTTTTTTTTCGCAACGTCGGATCTCAGGGTAAAGGATTCCTCCCTGGTCGTAAGGATTGCACGTGCCTGGAACTCAGCCGCCTTTGCTGGTGTGGTTGCTTTCATATCTGGGTCTGACATTCGGGTAGTTCTGTCAATCGCAGCGCCTTCGGGCGTTCAGCGCCGTCGGAGCCCACGCGGGGACGCCGCAAGGCGAGCTGTGCACCGGCGGGCCGGGGGCCAGAAGACGGCGGCCACGGAGGGGAAATCGGAAGAGCGGGGCACTACAGGGCAATTTTCAATTCATGGGGTTTTGAAACATATGAGATTTTTAATACATGATTCACTTAAGAATAAATTTGTGCACGAACTCATCGTTGTTTTTGAAACTAAATCCCTGCATTTTTAATACATGATCCGCACGCGGAGCATGTATCAAAAACGGCACTGTAGGGCCATGAAGGTCTTTGTGAGCCGTGTGGCGACCCCAGGTTCCGGGCAGGAGTCTTGCGGCGTACCTCCACCTTGCCATCGCTCGGGTGTCCATTCCCCGTGCACTTTTCGATGTCGTGCGTGTACCTTTCCGTCAGATGATTCCAAGTGCTCTTCGATGGTCCGCGCCGAGAAGAACATGCACGAGTCCGAGCGATGCCGAGCCAAGCGTCCAGCGCATTGGACAACACATGGCGGAACGTTTTCGCCGTTGTCGACCTCCGGGGCCCTCGGCAGACCCCCGGGTGCTGTCAGACAACGGCTCGGGAGGAGCAGCCGGCCCTGGGACCAAAAAGGGTCGGCGCTTCCAGGGACCCCGTGCAAAATAGATCAGGGCATCGGATCTCTGGGACCTCGTCCGCGTCCTCCTCCTTCTTCGCCTCCTCCTCGTCCTCCTGCTACTCGATTTCCTTTCCTTTCCTCCTCCTCCTCCTCCTTCCTCGCCTCCTCCTCCTCCTCCGCCTCCTCCTCCTCCTCTCCTCCTTCTCCTCCTCCTCCTCCTCCTCAACTTGCCTTCTTCGGCTCCGCGAGCGCACGCTTCCGCTCGAAGATCCGAGATCCTCCTCGATGGCCCTCGCCGAAAAAAAACACGCACACGTCCGAGCGATGCCAGGGCTATCGCCAGGACTTCGGCGCGAATCCGGAGGCGGCGCCGAGGTCTCCCCAGGAGCACCTCGGGCCCAAACGCCCCCACACATAGAGCCCCCCCCCGGGAGGCAGGAGACCCCGAACACACAGCATGGCCGAACACGGAAGCTGCAGCAGTATACTGCGGTGCACACACGGGTGATCACACAGAAGACCATACACATCGACCATCCGGGCTACCACACGGGAGACCCCACGGGACAGACTGCGAGAGACCGCTCGGGAAACCATGCGGGAACCCATGCAGGAGAGCACACTGGAGACGATACGGGACACCATAGGGGACACCGTGCGGGAGACCACACGGGAGACCACGCGGGACCCTGCGGGAGACCCTGCGGGAGACTGCTGTACGGCAGGCCGCGTGCGAGACCTCACGGGAGACCGCACGGCAGACCCCGTGCGGGACGCCGTGCGGGAGTGACCACGGGACCCCGAGACTTCCGACCCCGGGCATAGCGTGCGGGAGACCACGGGCCGGGAGCCACCGGCTGCGGAGATCCGGGGGAGCTCGCGCGTGCCTCAGAACAAACAACGCACCCCGGCAGCAGAAGGCGGCCCAACGCAACACAGTCATGACTAGTACAGGGGCCGCGTTACGGAACCGAAAATTACGGGCGACACTGCGGGAGAGCATGCTGCAGAGCAGGCAGAAGAACCACTATGTGCAAAAACATGCTGGAGATCCTGCGGGAGGCAATGCGGGAGGCCCTGCGGGAGGCCGTACGGGAGACCACGCGGGAGACCATACAGCAGACAATGCAAGAAACTATGCAGGAGAGTATATGGAAGACCGTGTGCCACGAGCAAACGATTTCGCATCTGAATGGGGCTGCCACGCGACCCGAAGCAATTAGCCTGGTGAAGGGCCTAACCATATGCAGCTGCGAATTACGCAGGGTGAGTCCCCCTCCTCGTAAGTAGCGCGCCGCGGGAAGGATGTGGCACGGGACGTGCGAATGGGAGCCGCGAAACGCGTGAGGGGTGTGCCGAAATATAGGCTGAAGGACGCGTGCGAACCTTGCCACATCAGCCTTCGGCGGGGCTCCCTATGGGTCCACGAACCGTGTGAGGGGTGCGCCGACATGGGTTTGGGCACGCATGCGAACACTGCCGAAAAAACCTTTGGTAGAGCTCCCTATGGGGCCACGAACCGTGTGCCGAAATCTGGGCTGGGGGATGCATGCGAACGCTGCCAGAAACGTGCTGGGGGATGCATGCGAACGCTGCCACAAGAACCTTCGGAACAACTCCCTTTTGGGCCATGAGCCGTGTGAGGTGCGCTCGCACGCGCGTGTGTGTGTGTGTATGTATGTATGTATGTATGTATGTATGTATGTATGTATGTTTGTATGTATGTATGTATATAGGTGTATGTATGTATGTAGGTATGTATATCTGTATGTATGCATGTATATATATATGTATGCACGCATGCATGCATGCACGCACGCACGCACGCACGCACACACATGCACGCACGCATGTATGCATGCATGCATGCATGCATGTATGTATGCATGTATGCACATATGTATGTATATGTGGACGTATGTGTGTATGCATGTATGTGTGTATGTATGTATGTATGTATGTATGCATGCATGCATGCATACATGTATGCATGCATGTACGTATGTACGTATGTATGTATGTATACATATATATATATATATATGTATGTATGCATGCATGCATGTATGTATGTATGCATGCATATATATATATATGTATGTATATATGTATGTATGTATATATGCATGCATGCATGCATGCATGCATGTATGCATGCATTCATGTATGTATGCATGCATGCATGCATGTATGTATGTGTGTATGTATGTATGT